ATAAGATACAATTTAAGCATAAAAATAAATAATTACATGTATATTATAGGAAACTACTTATGTAAAATTGTAATTTTTCTCTAAATTTTGATAAAAAATATAAGAACAAAAAGCAAATAAACAATAACGAAATAAGATGTCTTATAAACAAGTCATAAAACATACCCACGTGTGTTATTTAATGAGATATGTAGATATAAAACAATTTGGCGGTTCTTTTATGTATAAACAAGAATGAATTTTAAATTGCAGAAAAATTTAGAATAATGGCACATGGATTAATTTTAATTACTAAATTGTATTATTTAATAACAAAATAACAATAAATTAGCAAATTGATTGCTATTTTATCGACATTTTAATTGACAACAAAAACTTCCATTTCTAAAAGCTTTAAACTTGTTTACAAGTAGTTGTTATAGAACCAACTCTGCTGCGAAATTATTTAAAAAAAAAATAAATAAAAATTCCGTGAATTAATCGAGTTGCACGACATTGTATCGTCTATGAAAGCTGAATATTCTCTGGGTATGGATGATATTCCAGGTATCATTATTAAAGCTAGTCTCGACTTGATTGAACGGCCTTTCTTATACCTTGTAAATATGTCTCTGATGACAGGAACCTTCCCCAATGTTTTAAAACAATCTAAAATAATACCTGTTTACAAAACAGGTGACGTGACTTCAGTGACCGATTATAGACCGATTGCTTTACAAAATCAGTTTGCAAAAATATTTGAGAAGGTTTTTTATGATCAGCTTTGTGATTTTTTGGGTAAAAATAATAATAAAATAACACCATATCAACATGGATTTGTTAAAATGCTGCTTTATATCAAAGTATAAAATTTCTTCAGGAATGCCTAGATAATAAATATAATACCTATGGTGCTTTTTTCGACTTTAGTTCTGCATTTTATGTGGTGGATCATGGTATTTTATTTGTAAAATTGGAAAAGATTGGCATTAGGGGCATTGCTCTGAATTGGCTAAAATCATATTTACAGGATAGATTGCGTGTGCATCTCAGTGATGGCACACAATCAAAAGTTTTACTGAATAACAGTGGGGTACCACAGGGCAGTTTGTTGGGCCCGGTATTATTTATTATTATGATTAATGATCTGCCTGATATAGCAGACAGAGATGTGTTACCGATATTATATTGTTCCACCGAACAGATTCAACGTCTTTTACAAAATATAATGGAATGGACCAAAAAGAATAAGTTAAAAAAGTTAAATTGTGATTAATCCCATTTATGAAATTTCTTGCAAGAAATACAATTTCTTTAAGCTTCTTATTTAGACAACTAAGACCGGTAGTTGCTGATTCAACGCTTCTCTCATTATATTATGGACATGTATATTCCTTACTATCCTTTGGGGTAATTTGTTGGGGAAACGCTGTAACTGCAAATTTGGTCTTGATAGCGCAAAAAAATATCATTCGTATAATGGCACAGGTCCCGAGAAGATCTACATGCAAAAAACTATTTCTTAAATATAATTTATTAACATTCCCTTCTATATACATATACTTCAGTGCATTATACATAAAGAACAACATAAATGAATTTATAAAATATTCATACATAACACAAGGTACAAAGACGATCTGCGAATGCCACAGTGTAGGACAGATAAGTGTTTTAAAGGAATTCAGTCTATGTCTATTCTTAAAAAATATAAATTCACAAAATAAATTTAAACAAGAATTAAAAAAATTTCTCCTCCCTTGGACCTTCTACTCGGATGATGAATATTTTAACATTAATGTTTGTATTTAATTATTTTCTGTGACATATCATTAAGAATTGTATGTTGTACAAAGTCTTGATCTCTGGAATTAAATAAACAAACAAACAAACAAACAAACAAACAAACGGTGGTTTAATTTTAAAGTGTGTAGAAACGCTATAGAAATAATTATAAGGTAACGAAATAACAGTAATAAAAACTTTACTCACTTTCGTAGGCCCACAACGTAAAATTTTTCAAATTATCCAAATATTCTTCATTGTGTTGTTTGCACAGGAAATTGTCACTTTTTTCTACTGCTACCGGTAAAGAAGGGAAAATACTATAGTCACTTTCCGCCCCTATTAAACTGATAAGGCACAAGCCAGGCAGCAATTTATACATTTTTCAAAATTGGGAGTCTCTATAACAATATATGTTTTTACTTGTCCATTTAGTCGCGATCCGTAGAATCGCACTATCGATGAGAATGAACAAAACGCAAAGCTTTACTGGAACAGCTAATTTTAAAGGGAATAAATAATCCGCAGTCAGTCCGGTGGAGTATCCTTCAAATATTTTTTTCAATACCGGTCGACTTTTCCGTAACGTTTATGCGAGACTCGTAAATCTACGAGGATTCTGCGAGTTCTACCACCATATTCGACAAGTGAACACTTAATGTTGTTTGGCTTTGCGAAACTGTTGCCGCCGATTTGCGCAAATTTAATGGTTATTAACTTCAAAATCTTGTAGTTGAAATTGAATTTGGTGTAATATATCGTCGATCTATTGTAACTGAACAATATTTCTTATTTGCAAAATAACTGGCACAGTTGTATAACATCATGAGAAAGAGGAGTGACGTTATCTCATTTTGAAAAAAATGCTTCGATTATGTTACTCAGAAATAAACAAAAATTTTATTTAGTCGATATGATTATTTCTGGATAAAAAGTGTTAAATTAAAAGCACATTCTAGACATCACTTAATTTTACATTGTGTCTGTTTGCAGTCTTCCATTTACCAGGAAATACAGCTTTTTTCATAAATTGTTTTAAATATTGTTTATTTGTAGATTTGTTTAAATATTTGAACATTTTTTTACATGTAGAAAAAAATTCAGGATTAATATACAGAGTGTGCCAATATTATGGATACATGTAACTACCACAAATTCTTGGAGTCAGTTTTTATTTCTACATATTAAATCAGACAAAACGTTTTACAATTACTCTAGCCACTTATTTTGCTCCCAACAATCTGTTGTAGTTCCATGAACAAGGAATATGTGGACACCCTGAATTTTCAAATGTAATTACAACTTTTTTTTGACTGACGGTTATCAAATTTTGTTACTGTTGCTGCTGCTGCTGCTGCTATTGTACATGCTATTATTGCTGTTGTTGTTCGTGCTGCTACTGCTACTGTTGTTGTTGTTGTCGTCGTCGTCGTCGTCGTCGTCGTCGTCGTGGTTGTTGTTGTTGTAGTAGTCGTCGTCGTCGTCGTTGTCGTGGTTGTTGTTGTTGTTGTTGTTGTTGTTGTTGTTGTTGTTGTTGTTGTTGTTGTTGTTGTTGTTGTAGTCGTTGTTGTTGTTGTGATGTTTTTTTCTTTTTTTAATTTTCGAGCTACAATATGTATTATTACTTATTAGTGTTTTTGTTGAAAACGACAAAGTTTTCTGAAAACTAACAAGAGTAAGAAAAGTTTTAGAATTAAATTCCTTATAAAAAAAGTAATAATTTTTTAAGTTCCCCAACGGGTTAAAAAATTCTGTCACATTTTAATTACACTCACACCTTGTACCAAATTTGCTTAAGTTATAATTGAAATATTGATTTCTTTCGAAATTTGAAACCCCACTTTCGAGGCCTATAACGTCTCAGGCGTACAGTTTAGTATAAAGGTAAGTGGCGTTAAATCACCATATTTTGGGTTCCCTGCTCTGTGTCGATTCCTATGTGAAACACCCTGTATTTTCACACCTGTACTTCTCAAATAATCTATACTTCTGCAAGTACCTATATTTAAGATTAAGAAATTGTATTGGTCGTTATACTTTCGCTTCTGAATGAAAAGAACCATTATTAAAAATTTGTAAACTGCGTAAATTAAATATACAAGCGAAATACATTCTAAATTTCTAAATGGAATAACTAAGAAAATGTGCTGAAACTAGTTTAAATTCAGATGTGAATGCACTTTACCAGTTACGTAAAGACACAGCTATAATAAGATACCGTTTATGTCAACTGTGAAGAAATTGTTTTATTGAAAGCGATATTGACCTTGGCCTACCTAGATCGAGTTTGGAGATCTGGCTATCTTAGGAATCGATGCCAATCGAAGAGAGAATCTTCAGTTTCGTGCTCGGTCAAACAATATGAAATTACCTTAAATAAATAAGAATGATATAAGTTAGCAGAAACTATAATTATTCACTTTGCAGATCTTCATTTTCAAATATGTTATTAAAAAACATTGCATTTAGATAATTTTACGTTAATTTTGCGTTATTACGGAACAGGGAGGCCTCAACTAATTATAAATTACAGTGGAGTCGGGGTGGATGCAGATCTTATAGAACTAGGTACAATGATGTACCTATTTATTTTCTTTTATAAAGAAGGGCGCCAAGTGATTTTTTTAGCCATATCCACTGAAACTGTTAAAATCACTAAATCACAGGCCAAACGTTCTGGAATTCTGGAGTTGTGGGGAGGGTAGCAAAGCTACAGCACTTAGGTCCCATTGGGCCCCTTGTACTTCCTCCCATTAGAGAGATCAATCCCCCTGAGCCGCCAGCCAGCCTATTACAGTGAAAAAGGTGGTGACGTTGCTCAGGGGGATCTCTCTAATATAGGCCATTGTAGGCCAGCGTTCTCCCAACATGGACTCTCTTGTTGACAAGACGGCAGTGCATTCACATAGTACATGCAATACTGTCTCGTCTTCCTGTTCACAGCCCCTACAAAGAGGTGTTTCACACTTCCCCATATTGTAAAGGTGTTTCCTTAGCCAACAGTGTGCAGTTTGAATACCTGTCACCAGGCGAAGATTTGACCTAGACATGGCCAGGTATTTTTTGGATTTGCCTTTGCTAGGATACCTCCTTAGCGAAGTGACAGCTAATCGTTTCATCCCACCGTTTCATGAATTCTTTGTGGGTGTCTTCCTTAATAATTCCAGAAATTGCCGGCAACGGAAGCACACTGGAAGGACCGGGTCCAAAAATATTGAGGCCCGATGCGCTCCTGGCTAGCTTGTCGCTTCTTTATTGCTATAGCACTGCTCGTGTCCCTTTACCCAGCATACAGATATGCTGTTAGAGGCTGAGGCCACAACCAGTGCTTGATGGCATTCCCATAATGTCCTAGTCATTATCTTATGATTGCGCAGGGTCAGTAGCGCTCGTCTACTACCCGTGTAGATTCTGATGGTTTTACCCGTAGTATGTCTGCGGGCAATTTCCTTAGCGGCTATGATTATGCCTGTTAACTCCGTTTGTACAACGGTAGCATGCCTATCTATTGCCCACTGATATCGGATGTGCAGGGATCTAGAGCATATTCCACATTCCTCCTTCCTTTTTGATCCGTCTGTGAAGACGCTGATTACATCTCCACGGGCTGTCTCCTCTTGTCTCTTTGTGAGTACAGTGTACGGTTTATCAAATGCAAACCAGGGAGAATAACTGTCAGTGTCTGCCTGCAGAAGGGGCGTCTTCCTGACGACCTCACTCCATAGGCAACTTCTAACTTCTCCGCATCCTACATCCGGTTTTAAACCAACGTTCTTGAGGCGAAGCATAGTTGTCAAAGCCATTTCTCTTAGATAAATATCCAGAGGTAGCAGACACAGCATTGCCTCCATTGCTATGGTGGGTGTTGTTCGCATAGCTCCAGTTATGCTCAGACAGGCAATCCTTTGTACTTGGCTGAGCTTTTGTCTAGCTGTCGTCTGCTGGGATTTCGGCCACCAGACGACAGCCCAATAGGCTAACATTGGCCTCACTATGGCAGTATATATCCAGTATCCACATAACCACGTTTGGTTTCATACCCCAGGTTTCGCCAACGGTTCTGCGGCACTGCTTATAGGATATGTACGCCTTTTTTAATCTTCTTTCAAAGTGAAGATTCCATGTTAGCCTTGCATCGAGTGTAACCCCTAGGTACTTCACATCAGATGCAAAGCTTAGCGTAGTGTTTAGGAGAGTTGGTGCCTTTGTTGGCCCCAATTTTCTCTTCCTCGTGAAGAGGACCATTTCCGTCTTCCTGGGGTTCACTGACAGAGCATGGTCCTCACAACACTTTCCAATAATTCTTAGGGCTGTTTGCATTCTTTGGCGAATGATCCCTTCGAACTTTCCGCTAATCAGCATAGTGAGGTCATCTGCATAGGCGATGGTAAAGATGCCTTCCAAGTTGAGGTGGCATAGGAGACTGTCTAGAACTAAGTTCCACAGCAGTGGCCAAACGTTTTGAGGGGTAAAAAAAAATTACCTGAATTGTAAATGAACTTTAGAAATTTAATATAAAGCCCCCTTACACTTACGAACAAATTGTGCAAGCGTACGTTGTGCAAACAAGGTCCCCCATACACTATACGTATTTTTTGCAAACTCCAGTTACTTTTGTCTTGTTTTAATGGTAATGTCTCGCGACGCAGCCTGTTTAGCTATAATAATTTCTATTGCATCGGATGTTGGTGTTAAAAAAAGAAAAAGGAAACAAAGAGTCTGGATGAAAGAGTGGTTATGAAAAGATCTGTTTTTAGCCATGCAAATCTCCTCAAAGAACTTCAATTGAGTTCACCACACGACTATAAAAATTATTTGCGAATGGACCCCATAACCACATGTTATCACGCTTAAAAACAACTAAAGTGATTGCAAAATATGTCGCGAGTACCTACGCCCTTACACGATGCGACAGTTGCGCAACGCCACTCGTTGTGCAATTAATTTCAAACAGTTTTGAATTTCTGCAACTAGTTGCACAGCACCTCAAACAAACACCATATACTATACAATTGTTTGCACAACAGTCTCAGTTGCGCAATTTGTTCTCAGGTGTATGGGAGGCTTAAATGTAAATGAGTAATAGTGGTAAACTAATATACAGAAAAAGACACTTAATTACTGCAGATTAAAGTAACATCTATAATAAATGGCTTAGCCAAAGCAAAATATGTGTTCGTGGGAGAAAATATCCCATGGGAAATAGTAGTTAGTAACTAGAGAAAACTTGTATGCTGACATACTATTCATGGTACGCCAATAATAATAATGGTACCTGGGTTGGTTTTATAACAAACCCTACATATTAATGAGTGAGAAAAGAAAAATAATGTAATCCACTAAGTAATACTTATCGCTATTACATCAAAGGCTCTGAAGTTTTTCTTCACCGGGCTCCAACCTCGTAGAATTGTTCTGGTGGAGGTATATTTTCACTCAATAAGAAACGACCCTGGTGTTTTTGACAGAGTTCGACAGTCATTTTCAACAGTTCTTGTAGATTACGATGCTTTACATGTAATTTTCGGTAATAAAATTTTTCATTTTTCTCGCCCCGTATCTTGGGAGCAATCCGCTCTTCAAAAATTATCAAAGGACAAAATATTCTTAGAATAGTCCAGGGAATAACCCCTTGAATTTTTGCTGTATTTTTAATAAACACCCTGTATATTTTATTATTATCTCTGGTATTTTTATTTTATTTTGAATAGAGCTATTTCAAATATCTTATCAAATAAAGTAAAACAGTGTTCTAAAAATCTAGTTATGCAAAAGATATTTAACCTTATATAGACAATGAGACAACTGATGATATTGCATTGAATCATACCATCAATATCTCGTAAACAGCTAGTCATTAACAGTTATCTACAACAGAAATTAAAAATGTTACGTCTAAATATTTAATAACAAAAACACATATTATACCTGACATATTGAAATTATTAAATAATATAATGTTTCAAAGAAATATCATGTATTCTTGTTCTAAGATCATCCTAGACAAAGGCATATGTAAAAATATCAGCGATACACAGATCATATGTTTTCTAGTATCTTTATATTTTACTTGCGATTGTATTTTCAAGTGGCCTCTTTGCAAATGACTCAGAGGAACTTATACAGTGTTGTTCGGGGCCAAACCTCAACGCATGGAAAATATATCTAACCTCATAGGGAAGATTCCTAAGTGATGGTATTACAGGAAACAATTGTTCTATGGGCTAAATATAGAACAATAACAATACAGGATATTTCTTTATAAAGTTACATTACTTTGAACAATTTCAATATGTCAGATATGTGTTTTTGTATTTATACAGAGTGTCACGGTACTTGAAACAAAAAAGTGGTGTACAAATAGATCAGGTCAAAATAATGTCAGTTCTTCATATACATTTTTTTCATACGGGCCTTCGTTAACAAGTTACGGGCCCTCAAATGTAAAAATTAAAAAGTTATTTTTATTTACAGTCTCTAAACTATTAGCTGCAGTATGATGCAAATTTGGTGATCGATAACACATGCGTACAGCTTGTTTTTGATGTTCTAAGTGAAACTCCATTATGTCCAGAACGCCAGGGACGGACTTTGCCCAATGGCTGACAACCCGGAATTTTTGCATAGATGACAGTCGCCATCTGCCTGTATCAAAAATAAGTTCCGTGAAGAATTACCAAAATACATTTTCAATACGGGCACCTTCCACCTCCACACACTTCCTAATTCACGAATGTTATTTGTTTATACACGAAAAAGCATTTCTGGGGTAATAATTTAATAGGCCCATACGTTTTTGAGGAACGTCTGAATGGACATCAATATTTGAAGCTTTTGCAAAATAATTTGCAACCACTATTAGATGTTCCATTAGACACCTGAAGAAACGTTTGGTTCATGCACGATGGGGCTCCTCCCCATTTCAATATTGATATACGAAATTATTTATCCATTGTATTTAATAATAAATGCATTGGGAGAGGAGGCCCGCTTTCTTGGCCACCACGTTCTCCAGACTTTATACCTGAAAAGTTTAGTGTACGCAACCTCAGTACAGATAAGAGATGAGTTGCTACAAAGAATTAATTTCCATTGTGATAATATTAGACATACCCCAGAAATGCTTTTTCGTGTTCGACTAATCTGATAGAATTAAAAAAGAAAAAATAGAATAAAGTAAAAAGAGTTTTATTGGAAAAATTAACTAATAATTTCTTGTAGATTGACAAAATTTGTCTGAAACGATATTCATGTTGAAAAGGTAATCAAGTTTGATACGTACATATCCTCAGTAATAGTAGGAAATATATGTCTTGCTCACTTTCTTGTAATCGTTACTAAGTTCATTGCTTTTAATAATGTATTATTAAAATGCAAGGTTGGGTGTACTTCTTTATTTACCACCCTGAGAAACACAAAAAAACTTCCTCAGTAAGATCATTAGTGCAATTAAAACATTTTACCAAAATTGGGTATATGTACGTGCATACTTAACTTCAGTGTCTCGTAAGCAGGGTTATAATTTGCGAAAATGAACTAGTTTTGGGGAAAACCTTGTTACATTTAAAATATGCATTCATACATGAATCATTGGCTAAAGTAATATGCCCTTTATTTAAAGAAAGTAAATTACCGTGTTTCCAAATTTACTTCTTTATAATTCTTCTGTCACGTTAAAGGATTTAATAATTAATGCGAGGTTATCTAGTAAATCACAATTTTAATGAGCTCCCGAATGTAATGACAATTCTGAAAGTTATTTTAATTAATTCCTCGATATAAATGAATCGACTGAAGCGCGCTATAATACTTTATGGGGAAAAGGCAACGAGGACTATGGTAAATAGTTTAAATAAACACAGACAAGAAGGAAGTGCTGACAAGGATATATTGAGGTAATATTTTGAACAAGTATTTTATTATTCTTGAGGTAGATTAATGCAGATCAACACAAATAAGTTTGCGTGCTGGACAAAACTCCAGGTAGCCGCTATCCCAACAGCTGCTCTGCAGTTTAATAAATTCAAACAGGAGAAATTTTCTATGAAACACTTTTTGTTAGAAATATAAAGTTTTAAAAAGGTTTTATTGAACAATAAACCATTTATTACTTTTGTCTCAATATAAAAGCTCTAGTTCAAATGTTTGCGAGATATGTTAAAGTTTGAAAAAAGTCAATTTTTTATGCAAAACAAACTTTTTGATATTGAAAAAATACCGAATATTCAGTTAATAATAAAATATGGTATTTTCAATAATAGACCTCTTGCAGAAAAAAATATTCTAATAGTTTTTGTATCTACACTGAATACTACAAACAATGTGTAAAGGTTTTGTTATATTAATTTATTTTTAAAAAGTTATTAAATATTAAAGTTTTAATCGGTTCGTTTCGCGCGCAAGCGCCAGGGACTGGGATGTCGACACGTTGACGTCATCGGTAAGTAAATGACAAGCGCTACATATACAATAACGCGTTTCGACAGTGCAGCTGACTGCTTTGGTTATTAAATGTGTGGAGTGGTGACAATAAGCAGTACGATACTTTATATATACTGTAAATTTGTGAAGTTAAACTTATATTAACTATGGCAAATCCCTCTAAACCATATAAATAGTCCAGACAGCATCTATTTCAAAAAGTCCATATTTGGGTATATCCACGGAGATTTTTGACTTTTTGGCTTTCAAATATCACTAGAAATGAAAATTTTTCTATGCGCATAAAAAAACGTAGGCTTAACTTTTGGCGGCACAATATGTTAAAAAAATTCGAAAAATGTCATATTTTTCTTCCTATTTTTCTTTTCAGAAGTTCGTTTTAGGCGAAAATGGAAGAGGAAAAAAATGTTTGTAATTAAATTTTTTACAGAATATGACTAGTTACAAATCGAATGAATCATGATTATTATTGTAAAAATCGAAAAAATCGCTAAATATGGGGTTAGAAAACATTACTTTTTAGGGAATCTTTTTGAGGTCTTTAAATTGAGTTGGGACTTTCATACTTGGCTCACGAAAACTTCATGTTATGCAGAATCATCACACCAAATTTCGTCAAAATCGGTTAGATAGATTTTGTATAACAATTTTGCAATCCAGATTTTGAAAAATTCAAAATTTTGCACAGCAAGAACCAAGGCTCTTAGATACTTGAAAATTTAATCACTTATAGAAGGGCTCTCAAGCTTTCAAACGCTTTTTGAAAAATTCGAATCCATCAATTAGGAGAGCATAGAAAAATGACATTTGATAGCCAGAAAGCCAAAATTGTCCGTGGATATACGATTCACCCAAGCCAAAACAGATACCGCCTAGTCTAATACTATTTCTGGTGCATTGTGCCGATGTGTGAAAATACATCAGTAAAAACGCCAGAAAAAAATGTATTTTAAAATAAATTTATATATAAATCACATTTTCATACCTGTTTGCTTTTATTCCCCTTATTTCTGCCGAATAAAATCAAATGCTTTTCGAAAAACTCCGCAATCGTCATGGAATTCGGTAAATTGTCTGATTGGGCTTTAGCGTAACCTTGTTCGGTCATGTTACAAATATTCTTAAGAATTTTTAAAAAACTAAAAACTAATTATGATTATTTAAAATAACCAATTTTGATTCAAAATATTATTTAGGTAGTAAATAATATTATCCTACCCCAGGAAAGATCACTTGAACTAAACGTCGTAAAAATTAAATATTATACCTACACAGACTTAATTATTTTGCTACATAAGTGCATATTTAGGTATACCTACATAATAGAAAGGAAACCAGTTAATAAATATAACAGCACATCCGTATCGTTATCGTATCGTATTATGTAAACTAAAAATAATAAATGTTTTTGAAGTAATAGGACCGAGATCATTTTCTAATGTGGTAATGTGAAGCGGCCAGTTTACTTACCCATGACGTCGCACCAATAGCAACTCGTTCTACGACACGCCCCTACAGGATGCTCATCACCAAATTTCAACGTACGATTTAATCAATTTTCGAGTAGAATTTTTCACAAAAGATTTTATAATTAATAATTTTAAATAAGGCCATATTTAAATATGTGAACTAATATAAAAAATCCGGCATGGGCAAGAGGCCTATTATACTCATCGTGATTTACTTCTACAACAAAAATCTCTAGAACCTGTCTCATAAATTTGCATATTGAAAGACTTCTTTTTGAGAATTTTTTGAAGAAAAAAACCGCCACTCTTTTTCAATAACCACTTTTTTGCTTTATTTATTTTTAAATTGAAAAAAAAAAAAGTTTATGATATCTTTAGTTTTTACCAAGTTACAGGTAATTTTCTCCAAAATATTCAAAAGTTCTTAACCTTTTGAGGGGTTGAAATAAAAATTTGAAAAAATTCATGAAAGCTACTGTAAATTGGTATTAAATAATATCAAAAAATCAGGAAAATTAAAAATGGTCTGGTCACGGCCTCAGTGATTTAGCATGGAATGCCCTATATTTATTCGAAACTTTTTGTTAATTTCTGAAATAGAATCATTACCATCAAAAGCATTAAACCACTAGAACAATTAAGGGTGGGTCAAATATTTTAGTTACATCCTATATAGTCTAAATCATGCGCTACAGCTAAATTTACTTAATTCTCTGCTTTCAAAGAAATAAGCTTGTGATTAAACATTGACCAGCGCAATTTGGTAGACATTTAAGTTAAATAACTAACAATTTCCATAAGTACTTGCTGTTTTAGCTCATTTTACGTGGTACCACTAGCAATTGTGTTAAGTGGGATTATTAATGTAATTAATTTGTCTATTGTTTGATATTATCCAAGTAATAATTTCGAAACTAAAACTAACCGTTCAAAGTAACGAATTCTTATCCTACGCTAAATGATGTTATTAAATTTATGTCAGTTAAATGTACGCGGCCTACTGAATAATAATATGCCGCCCTCTCTTCCGCACAAGTCTTCGACTTCTAGGTCGATCCTTATGATCAGAATGAGTGGTAGAGATATTATGAAAAAGTGGTATTACTTACCTTCCTTTAAATATTTAAAAAATATGATAATTTGAAATGTTTCAGATTCTATTTAGTTAGATATTACATAGGTGAAACTTTAAGTCAGTCAGTTTTTTTTAGGTAATACCTAGTACCTACGTGTTCCATAGAATACTAATCTGAAATTCTTTTTTTTATTATTAAATAAATAGTCGATTTTCAACTACACTTAAGTTCTTGCTTACACCGCTACTGAATGGCATAAACCGGGCCACTCGGGATTAGCTTAGTTCCTTGTATCATCACTTTAGAAAGCCAAACTATGATGGAAAATAATTTCTTTAACGCAAAATACTTTTGTACAATATAGCGACGGGTTATTTTAATGTCACCATACTTTTTTGATATCACTGTGGTCGAAGCGCCGAACATTAAAAAAACATCCTATTGTGTCAAGAAAGTCAAAATTGTTTATTTGAATGATTAAATATTGACTAATATTAGTATGTAGATACTTTAATAAAACTAATTTATGTTTTAAAATAATTATATTTGCTGTTTTACAAAACGTACATAATAAAAAATAAAAATAATTGAAAAAAATAGTTTTTAAAATTAGTTATGTGTATAGTAATTGTACAGGGTAGACCAATTTTGACACTTGGGAGCTTTATCCTATTTCCTGAATTTTGGGACAAGTGGGTACATTGAAGATGAATTTATCAAGACAAATCGTCAGAATCTGGTTCAAGCTGAGGCAGTACAGTATTGGGTGCCACGAAGGCTTGTAAAGAATGTAATAAAATTTCTTTCATTCCAGGACCATCATCAACCTTCATTTTTTTAAATACGGACTTGTCCAATTGTGAGCACCCTGTATGAGTGAAATCAATGAAACTGCATGGATATACCTTCGGTTAATAAAATTATGAGAAAATGCCTTGAAAATATTTTCTACTGTTAATACAGGATATTCTGGAATTAGTGAAATTTTTCGAAGTTTGCACCTATTTTGTGAACACTCTGTAAAAGCTACAATAATGCAATTTTGTTTTTAGTGTTTTGAGGTGTGATCAAATCGAAAATGTTATCCATTTCTTTCTTAAAAAAATGCCTAATATGTTTTTTAATTTTTGAGCGTCTTTTCTTAATGATAGTACGCCGTAGAAAAGATCACATGTCAAAAAATATAATATCGAAAAGTAGGCCTTTCTGAGTACTACCACAAAAAAAAAAGAATTTTGGAAATCGGCCAACGCCATCCCAAATACGGAGGTGTCCTGACTTTAAGTGAAACACACTGTATAAAAAATGATTAACAGAGGGCAAAATGTTGCAATGGGAAAGTGTTCTTATTTTTTCAATATCACCTCAAGCAAGGCTGAACTGAGACAAAAACGGTTTTCCAAAATTTCGTATTTTTTCAAATATTTCGAAAACTAATCATGTTTAACCTTGATTTTTCAGAGGCATAATGTTGGCCCCTTGATTACGCAACTTCGCCCCCATTTAAGCTAGATCGTATCTCTTACCTTTCCGAGACCCCTGTAGTGAGAAGAGAATTTGCAACAGCCTGTGTAGGTATATTTTTTAAAGCAAAAATAATTAATTTGTAACAAGACTGTATCTTAGTATAACTCTATGTGCTTTGCATTTTATTTTTCATCGGTATATTAAATACATTAATGCCTTAGAAAGACTATAATTTTCAGTTGTGGAGTGTTGTACACCAGTTTTTTGTTTTAATTGAAAACCCTCTATATTTTTTTACATATTTGGATAAGACATTTCGTTTCTTTTTTTTGTTTTCTCGACTATTTTAAATGGGAAATTAAAAGAAATGTTATGACAAAATATTGTTTAATGCATAACATAATGGTTAAATATGTCTAAAAATTAAAATACATATATGTGTCTTTTAGCAGATATACAAATATAACCCCACACCATGTTACATCGTTCATCCATATCTCATTTTGAATACTACTTAGAATGAGATGATAACTTTATCACAAGTTAAAATCAGATAACTTAAAGCAAATTTTATTTTGTTATTAATCGATTAGTGATCTAAACAGTAGTAGCTTATTTCATCTACTTCATAGTTCTAAGAAAAAGTAGTACTAAGTTTCCAATTTTTATATCAATTTAAATTTAAATTACCGAAAAAAAATGTGTATAATGTCTGCAAAAAAATTATAACATTTATTTTAAATTCGTTTACTTAGTTTCATTCTGCGTTCATAGAGTGACATCTATAGCTACCAATTTCTCTGAGATGTTATTAAATTTGTTTACTTGCAGCTGCTGAAACTTTAAAGTCTGGTTTCACTTTTGACCTGCTCCTGAACTTCCGCATCTTGCTTGTCTTTCTTGTTTTCAGGCTTACTAGGAAATAATAACACCTTAAGTATTATCCTTGTAGGAGCTTCAACTGTAAGGTACAGTCCCAAGGCAGATAAGAACGCCAATATGATATCAGACAGTCCATAAGTTACCTGGAATAATAAGAGGAATATTAAATTATCTACGAAAAAAAAATTTCGTATCTTTTTCATTGACATACAGGTTTTAGTTAGTAGTACGTTTGTATACATCGGGCAAAGAGGGATTTGTCCCAACTTCTATCAGTAGTAAAGGCAGGAATTTTTCTATAACGAAAAGTAAAGAGTAAAAGAAACGACATTTTCGAATATGATGTATTTATTCATACAACGATGTTGCCATAAACTTATAGATCCTATTCATCTTATGGAAACAATACTGCGACAAAGCCCTGGAGAAAATTCTTTGTCAACCTTGTTTTAGGTAAAACTGTTATTATTTTAGTAAGGCTTTTAGTACTACTTTCCTCATCTCAATTATTAAGTACCTTCCTGCCTCTAAAAATTGTTTTTATGTTATAGCAAAGCAAATCATTATAAAGTATCACTTTAATCCCCATAATTTATATCATTAATAGAACTGAATGCTCAACAGTGCTTCTTCGGGAGAAAATTATTGGCCATAAATAAAGAGCAGAGTTTAAATAAATAAAAAGGTTTATTTTTTGTATAATTTTCTTTTAATTTCAAAAATATTTTTATCTCCATTAAAAGCATATACAGGGTGATTCACAATTTATCCAAAAAAATGGGGTCAATATCGTAAACAAAATTTTTGTAAAATCCTTATAGTTTCCGAGACAAAAATTATTGAAGTTGTAGTACTCTCTACCATTACATCGCTGGACAACTGTAGTCTCTAGAGTCATTCCGATTTTACAATTAGTATTAATGTCATTGCGATAGTATTTACAATAGTTTTTTGGTAGTTAGTATCAAAAATGGCTTACGTGTATAGCAACTTGGAATTGATAGATGTCGTTTTAATTTTTGGTGAAGCAAGACAACGTTTGTGTTATGGGGAAGCATTTGTGTTATGGTGAAGCAACACAACATTTGTTCAATTCGTAGTAACTGTGTAGGACGGGACCAAGTGTGTTTACACGTCGGTGGTATACATCAGGTTATGTCAAATTAGTTTATTAAGTAAAACCACAAATTAATTTCATTAATTAATAAAACGATAGCGGCAACATCAGTTAAATTTGCTGATATAAAATAGGTATTATAAAATTCTATTTATTTATTTCCTTGCGAAATTCTTTTAAGTTTTTATCCATTTTTATTACACTTTGCCTTGTGTAAGATCAGGTTTTACAGTAGACCAGTTTCCAGTGCCGTGCAGAAGTGTATTTTTAAATCATTTTCTAACTGCTCTTTTTGATTTTTTTTTACAAAATTGTATTTGTAAGGGTCCAATTTTTTTTTATATATGTATAAGTTTTGAATCACCCTGTATTATACAGGGTCGCTGATATGTATGGAAACGGTCGATTATCTCCTAAAGTAAGATAGTTATCGAAAAATCATTATAGTCATAAACGTTTTAGGTTTTTTTAAAATCTGTTTAAATAAAGAAAAATTAATTATACTGGATCAGTCAAAAAGTCATGATGAAACAAAGTTGCTTTTTCTTTAATTTTAAAACAAAACATAAACCGTTTAAAGAGAAAATAACAAGCAAAACAGAAAAAATTGGAAATTTAAGAAATCTCTACTTAGGACTAAAAATTCCTAATTACTATAAAAATTGTTGAAAATGAGCACCCCTATTTATCAAAATGACGCCTCTTATTTTTCAACAGGTCACAATTGCTAACTATTAGTGGTTACAAATCTCCCCCCTACGTTGTAATGTTAGGTGTTCGTCAGGGATCACATTTGGGACCATTACTATTTTTAATCTATATCAACGATAACCGTCACTGTTTCAAATTTTGTAAATTTTTACTCTACACAGACGATTTGAAAATTTACTCTGAAATATTTTTCCATATTCGTTTTAATCATAACCAATATACAGGGTGTTAATGAATAGGTGTTACAAACGGATATGGTATGTAAAAAATCCAAAAATAAGTGCAGTTTACTTAATAAATATATGTCCTAAAGCGGCTCATTTTTGAGATACAGGGCGTTGAAATTTAAAAATAATAAACTATTTTTTCCTGTAGCTCCGGTATTAGTTAATATTTCTTTATCAAACTCAACAGACTTGTTTACTAGCTTAAAGCATACATAAATATGACAGAAACCATTTATTGGCTTCTTTTAGTGGCGTGCGATAGGTGTCGTTTCACCTTTTATCCCCCCTAAATTGTGCGGCACTGTACAAATATTAGTTTTTCGTATATATATATACACCCTGTATATACTCTAATAATTATAACTTTAATAATAATATCTTAAGTCAAGTTGAAGAAATAAAAGATCTTGGGGTTGTCTTTGACAGAAAAATGAGTTTTTCTTCACATATTGATTACATAACTTTAAAAAGCAATAAAATGCTTGGTTTCATTGTCAGTTTGCTTGTGTGCACAGTAAAATCAATTTTGCATCTATTGTATGGAGTCCTCAATATTCCATATATAAGTCTTGACTTGAGGCCATACATAATAGATTTATGAGATATGAGTGGTGTGTATTCTTTTCATTGTAGCTCGATGTTACGGAATCATTTCCATATTATTTCATTGGAGAATCGAAGAATTATTGCCGAATCAGTATTTTTGTATAAACTTCTTAATGATTTTATCGATTCTCCAGATTTATTAACCTTGATCTGTTTACATGTACCACAACATGACTTTAGACTTTAGACTTGTTTCATGAGACTTTTTATCGAACTAATTCTGGTCAAAACTCTCCTATAAACAGAATATGTAGACATTTTAACTTGTACTATAATACTCTAGATATATTTCACTCCTCGCTTGCTAGTTTTAAAAAATCTTTGAAGGGAACTATTATTGTAAATTAATATTTTCTATTATAGTAATTATTTCTGTACTTCTATATGTAATTAGCTTCAAGTAATTCGTGGGCATTGTTTTGGGCTATAAAGCCTGTGTTTGTCCCCTTCTCCATAAATAAATAAATAAATAAATAAATAAATAAATAAATAAATAAATAAATAAGAAAAGCCAAAATTAGCTAAAATTCTTATTTGTCATATCAAAAAACTTAATAGTGTCAATTTTTATGTTCATATTCAGACAGTTTTCAAAATTATTCAGAAATTGCAAAATAATATTCAAACATTGAACGCTCTGTATGTTTGAAACCAGCAACATTTGCATAAGGCATATTTGGCTCAATCGACTTATTTTGGCCACCAGTATCTCCGGTTTCCCAACCTTTCGGAGACACCCTGTATATCAACGACCCTGTATAAAAGAATAAGTTCAATAGGTAATAGTTTTAACATAATTAAAAGACATTTTTCAGGTTTTTCAGATTTACCAAAGACGTTACCATATTAAAACGCGCCACTAATTTAACACATCACTAGGAGGAATACTCACAATATCAAAGAAGTTGAACTCACTGGAATTAACGGTATTGTACGCTGCTCTGGTCTGGATGGCGTAATGGGCTAAGTAAGCTCCATAAACCAGTTTGCTCAATGGGATCCAGCACCTCCAAGACAAGCATTTGTGCAGAAATTCAAGGGTTCCATAACTGGTGGCAAACATTATCCCTAACGTCCCGAGAGCCCACACGCCTCTATGTAAGGCACCGTAAGTGGCGGATTCTAGGGCGTTGTAGGTGTGGAAAGGGTCATAGTACACGGATCCGGCAAACATGCAGGCCAGGAGTAAAAACGAGGAAATTAGTGCCAGAATCGTAGAGTATAACTGAAAGAATAAACAAACTGAAAAATTGCTGGCCATTTATTTATTAAAGCCATTACAATAGATTTGAAAGGCCGTGTCAGACTAACAAAGTTTCTTCAAATTTGTTTGATCAAAATAGTTTGATGACGTCATCAAATTATTTTCATAGACCCGTTTGATTAAATTCCTAATATTTTAGAACCCGCATTAAGTTATTTGACAAAACAAACATCATGAAGCAAACTTAATCTACAAGTATGATTTCCTTGATATTTTAATAACGATTTTCACTGTATTTTTTAATTTTTCAAAATAAATTTATTTTTTTGTAAATTATGAGCTGGATAAGGCAGCAGATTATGTAACTACTAGATTAATACAAGATGTAGGTAACTTAAAATTGCGTCATATTTATACGGGGAATTTGGAAATAAATACATTTTTTATTTTCACAAATTTCGACGTGAAAACCTAATTTTTTGATTATACAACTTTAATAACCTGCCACTACACAGGCTAGTGCAACATTTAACAAACTACCGCATGTATTGTTGTCAAATCTCATCCTTCTTGATTCATATAAGAATGTTTTTTTTATTCCCAAAAAAATTTAACAATGAAGACACACAAACAGACCGCAGCGAAAACATTTGAGGTAGAAAGTCGTAAATTTACCAAACAAATATGTTTTATTAAAAAGTTAATATTCACATCTATCAAATTAGTAAGTATTTTTTATTTAATTTTTATTATGTCGACGTTATAAAATAACAAAAATAATTATTTTAATAACGTATGCTCATCCACAATCCGGTATTCCAGTTAATATTTAACAAATAGAAATTTTTAAAACACGAAAACACGATTTTTTCTGCTATTCACCTGTACTGACATTAAAAAATTGGGTAGTTTGAAAATAACATGTCGCAAAAAATGAATTTAAAAAAATCGAAAAACTCGAAAATTGGAATGAATTAATAAAAATCTTTATCAGAAGTCAAGGGCGTAGATTTTTTTTTCGGTATTTCAATGTTATCTGTTTCTTTGACAAAGCACTTTTGAAGAGGTGAATTAACCTGAGCCTTCTAGGAAAAGAGGATGATTAAAATTTTAGAGCATTTATACCTCTCTAACTTTTATTAAACTACAGCATGTATTGTTGTCAAATCTCAACTTTCTTGATTCATAAAACAATGTTTTTTTTATTCCCAAAAAAATTTAACAATGAAGACACACAAACACACCGCAGCGAAAACATTTGAGGTAGAAAGTCGTAAAACCAAACAAATATGTTTTATTAAAAACTTAATATTCACATCTATCAAATTAGTAAGTATTTTTTATTTTATTTTTTTTATGTCGACGTTATAAAATAACAAAAATAATTATTTTAATAACGTATGCTTATCCACAATCCGGTATTCCAGTTATATTTAACAAATAAAAATTTTTAAAACACGAAAACACGATTTTTTCTGCTATTCACCTATACTGACATAAAAAAATTGGGTAGTTTGAAAATAACATGTCGCAAAAAATGAATTTAAAAAAATCGAAAAACTCGAAAATTGGAATGAATTAATAAAAATCCTTATCAGAAGTCAAGGGCGTAGATTTTTTTTTAGGTATTTCAATGTTATCTGTTTCTCTGACAAAGCACTTTTGAAGAGGTGAATTAACCTGAGCCTTCTAGGAAAAGAGGATGATTAAAATTTTAGAGCATTTATACCTCTCTAACTTTTATTAAACTACAGCATGTATTGTTGTCAAATCTCAACTTTCTTGATTCATAAAACAATGTTTTTTTTATTCCCAAAAAAATTTAACAATGAAGACACACAAACACACCGCAGCGAAAACATTTGAGGTAGAAAGTCGTAAAACCAAACAAATATGTTTTATTAAAAACTTAATATTCACATCTATCAAATTAGTAAGTATTTTTTATTTTATTTTTTTTATGTCGACGTTATAAAATAACAAAAATAATTATTTTAATAACGTATGCTTATCCACAATCCGGTATTCCAGTTATATTTAACAAATAAAAATTTTTAAAACACGAAAACACGATTTTTTCTGCTATTCACCTATACTGACATAAAAAAATTGGGTAGTTTGAAAATAACATGTCGCAAAAAATGAATTTAAAAAAATCGAAAAACTCGAAAATTGGAATGAATTAATAAAAATCCTTATCAGAAGTCAAGGGCGTAGATTTTTTTTTAGGTATTTCAATGTTATCTGTTTCTCTGACAAAGCACTTTTGAAGAGGTGAATTAACCTGAGCCTTCTAAAATCTTTATCAGAAGTCAAGGGCGTAGATTTTTTTTCGGTATTTCAAAGTTATCTGTTTCTTTGACAAAGCACTTTTGAAGAGAGGAATTAACCTGAGCCTTCTAGGAAAAGAGGATGACTAAAATTTTAGAGCATTTATACCTCTCTAACTTTTATTAAAGTTACTAAAAAAAATGTTTACAAGGGCAAGTCGTACCAGTTCCATTGTTATGTTTTGGTTGGATACTCAGGATGCAGTCTCCAAGCAACCCTGAATTGGTCGGTTGTCTCACTTATGGCACACTGATGAGGACTAATAAGTCCGAAACCGGTCTGTGTCTGGTGGGTTAAACTGACGAACGATCCTAGCTGTTGCACTAGGTGTTGCGGGTATAATTCAATGCCGGTAGGGACATATAGCCCTCGGAGTAGTTGTTTCTCGCAACACTGACAATGAAAACCCTGAATAAATCGTCCTGTTTGGATTTTTTTTTAATAAAATGACATCTTTATTGGATTATATAGAATAGACATATATTTCTTTAAAAAACAAAAATGAGAGCAAGTAGGAACAAATTACTTACTGTATAATTGAAAATTTGTCCTTTCATTATGATTTGTAGACCAAAAGATTGAAGTTTCTATACAGAGCATGTTTGAAGATATTAAGTATTTGAACTATTTGTACAAATTCATTAATTTTTTTATACACCATATACCACTGAAAACTAACAGACTGTTGAAGTCAGATTTCCAAAGTTCCAGGACATTATTAGGAAAAGTTCTTTTGTTACGTCATATATCATATTGAAAATACATGAACCAGTGACAAATATTAAACATCTAAATTTTTTGCTACATTTAACTTTTGAATTATCAGTAAAATCCTATAACCCTGAGGATTTAGGGGATAACCTTACAAATTTCCAACACTTTTTTCTAACTAGTCATTCTGTACTTTAAATATCCGTAGAGTTCGTCATAAAACAACCTCTACGAATCAAAAACCAACATCAAAATACATTTCTGTATTATCTATACTTACTCTAGAAATTTTATATTCAACACCCTTCAATTGGTAATAAAGGTATCCAGCAAACATTCCAATGAAATATGTAGTCGCTCTAGCGTGAGACTTAGTATAAGTCAAGGTAAAGTCCTTGTCTGCTTTAACGTTTAGCATTTTAGTTGGGAAGAATCTGAAAAACGCCGGCCTCTTGTATATGTATTTCAGGCCAAATGGTATCAACACTGAAACGATAGCAAGGGTGAAGAAAACACTTATACCCAGTTTCTTCTGTTTCTTCATTAACAGCACCAGTCCTACAGCTAGTACGAAGAAGTGGAAGTCACAGGGTAAGTACCATGAATGCACCATGCACTAAAATGTAAGTAAAATGTATGGTTTATACCTGACAAATTTAGTTTGTAATAGTACCATATGCTCTGAGTTAATATAAGTATTCAAGTACAACAGATTCGTCCACCAATTTTTTCTGCAATCATTTACCTCCGGACCTACAATTGATTTCCATAAAGGTCCGTCACCAGAGTGGTACAAGAGAGAGCAGTAGTAGAAGATGACAAAGGCATAGGCTGGCGTCAATCTGATTCAAAAAGGTAAAAAAGTACTTTAGCAAAATGTTTTCTCTGTATTATTTATAACAATAATGACTATCAGAGAAAAAAGTTAATAAGAACGTCGGTTATTTCACCTTATGTATCGCATAAATATTATTAAACCTGGATTAATAATCTTTTTATCATATACACCCATCAAGCTATAAACGACCAAAACTCCACTTATGACGAAGAATGTATCCACGAATAGGTCTCCATGAAAAATATAGCTGACTAGTGGATTTCTGTACATCTACAAAGTATCAGAATATCAGAAGATGCGCTTAACGTTAATTGTGAATTTCTTCATATATTTAGCTGTAATTACCCCTTCGATGTAATCAACGTTTGAAACAATAGACATGATGAAGTAAGCGAATCTATGATCGATAATAATCATGAATATTGAAAAGGTCTTTATCCCATAGAGAATGCTTAGAGCTTTGTCCGAACTTTCAAGCTTGTTCAAATCCAAAAAGTTCTTCCTAGCTGAAAACGCCATAAAAAGCTTCTGACTGATGGTTTCTAAAACAAAACAGCGCTATCATAATGGAATATTCAATAGCATTTACTTTATTTTAAACGTTTTTAAGGACAGAGTGTGTTCTTCTACAAATTGTTAGTCATACTCTATTTTTGAATGTGAAAATTATGCATAAACTTTTATATTTTACCTCTGTTTTGATGCCCATGACATTTAAAATCCCAGAACGTGGAAGCGGTGACCAATATGGTCAACACCAGCACCGTTATGCTAAAATGATTTAATAAAAATTAAAAAACTACCATGATTGTGATTGTTTACATTACCAAAATGCTAGGTCCACGCTATCCAAACTTCTTCCTTCATTTGAAGTCCTACAAAGATCTTTAAGAACTCGAGAACTGTATGTTACATTTCCTTCACCCAAAGAGTGATTCAAATTTTCATTTAAATACTTCTCCAGTTCCGAAGGGGAACAAGAGGCGGGAATGCACCATCCTAATTTTGCTATATTCCTTGGCTGCTTGGAAATATCTTTATAATTCTATAAAAATAACAGTTATTAATAGTCTACATGAACGCTTTGATGTATTTGTTCAAGAATCAACATTAAAAGAAAACCATAGTTCAGTTCAGTCTATGAACCTAATGGATTTTATTACCAGTTGGCAATTCTTTTAAAAGTAAATATAATTTTGAACGAAATCAATTAAAATTTATGGAAATTATATTTTTTCTTGTCTTAGATACATGTTCGTAAATATACGGGGTGTCCTAGAAATAAGTGCCAAGATTTTAACCGCATATTTATTTCCTAACATACTATATCCAATTATAGGGCAGGAAAGAAAGGTAATAATAAAAATATGAGTTGTATAAAACTGCACAGTGTGACTAACTAAAATAACATAAAAGTAAAAACAATTATTGAACTTGATCCAAAAGAGTAATTTAGTTTTTTAATCGAGGTGAAATATTAAAATTAGTATAAATTCTGAGGAAAGGAGAAAATTTCTTTCTGTTAGTCCGAACTGAAGGGAGGGAGAGTCTAATGAGTCTAGATATGTGAAAGTTGAACAATCAACTAAGCCATGAAACAACTTAAATGGAAAAAGTAAGTCACTAATTGCTCTACGTTTCTCAAGTGGTTCATTTAGAAGGTCTTCATGGGATTATCCAATGATAAACACCATCTTTCCTGAACCAAACATTATAACATGGACATTAAACTACGCCTCCATATTTAAGTTTCAGTTTAATGAAGGAATTGTATAGTATTTTAATACTGTCAATGTTACTGAAATACTGGGTAAAGCTTAATGTCTTAAAACACCTATTGGTTTCATTGAGCATTGACAGTTTTGAGTGAAATAGAAACCCTGATACCTTTGAAGCTGTTATTTCTAGGCAATGAGGAATTATCCAAAGCATAATCAAAGAGAATGGTATTATGTTTCAAACAATAGCTAACAATGTTGCGTTTATCAATGTTTAAAGGAGTTTATTGGATCTACACAATGAATTCACTTAGCTCAGTGCTGACTGAAGGTTTAGACAGATATACAAACTGCTTACAGAAGAGTACCATTTCAAGTAATTCGCTTATAGCAATAGCATTTAAAAATATTAGATAAAGAGTGGTTCCAAAACTGAACCCTGTGGAACACCAGAGGCTATAATAAATTTATTCGTTCTAATGCCATTGCTTTCTACAAATAAAGATCTATTAGCAGGACAAGCAAAATTTAATAAAATTTGAAGAAAAACCGATATATGAAAGTATCAACATTAGAACCCCATAGGAATTTGCCAAATGGCTTACTGAAATCCATATAGATGACATCAACTTGTGCATTAGAGTAAAAGACTTGTGACAATAGACCTCCCCTTTTATAATAAATTCAAAAACTTCAACAAGATTATTATTAGTCATAATTGACTTGTTTTGCATTTCTTATCATCTTTCTTAAAAATTGGAATTAATTTAGATGTCTTGGAAGTTTTATAAACTTTATATTTTAAAGACAAGATTAAACAATACAATTATGGGTGAAACAAAAATTGAAACGCAGTCGCGGAAAAGAAAATATGGGATATGAAATCAGACTACATTGTAAATTTAGGCTTCAATTTTTTAAGGAGAGGATTTACTTCAGACTCAAACTACCCTCTCACCAATCTCATCGTAAGTATGAATACTAATAATCTCGCTGGAAATTCGTCGAAACAAATAGTATCTTGATGATTTCATGCCATAAAACCTTAATTATTCAATATTTGTAAAATCAGCATCTTGTTGGATGGTGGATTGGTCAAAACGGGCCAGTTGCATGACCAGCGCGATCTACGGATTTCAATCGGTGCAACGTGTATTTGTGGAGTCATTTGAAATAGCTGGTGTATTCCATTTCATTTTATACGTTAACGAACTATATGAGAATGAATAAAGATTGTGGTAGGTAACGAAAATGTAAAATAAAAACTAGGGGTTTTCGAAAAAGTTATTAAACAAACGTTATTACTTTTGGTGAGTTAAATATGTAGTTAATATTTTGGCACCGTTAATGGCACACCTTGTATAATAAATAACATAAGAAACTTTAGAATGACATGCATTTTTTCTATTTGCGTTCATTATATTGAACGGTAAGGATGACGTTCTATACAAATGTATGACGACAATTAATTATTCTATAATAATTGACTAGCATTATTGTATTATTCTGCAAAAATTGACGTCATATTCTTTTATAATAATAATAAATTAATAAGGAATAATTTAGCTACTCATGCTACAAAGCAAGTACAAACTCATAAGAAATTCATACGTTTTTATGAACACATCGTTTTCCTTGAGATGTTTTAATTTTCATGAAATTTTACACGTTATGGTCATATGTAGGGTTGGGCTATAAATGCCTACATGGTGGATATGCTAAGTTGATTTATTGATAGACAATACACAACGAATTAAGGGCAGCATTTTTTAATGATGTATTAATTAGTTATGAGGAATTTTCTGCTCATATATGTTGATATAGTATTTACAACAATACTGTAACATTCTTTTTGCAATCAATTCATTCATATTGCTTGTAATTAGATATTTATTTGTGGCATCTTCACTTACTATTTTTATTTGATTGGGAATTTATATTTATATTGGGAACATACGTGGTAAAAAGGTCTTGGAATAACACAAATATTGTGGGAAAAGAAAGTAAAAAGAAAACTAAAAGAGTGTGGTCCAGAGTACATTTTGTTACATAGCGAAAGATGCGTTCATATAATTCTTTAATTTTTGGGAGTTGTTAGTTGAAATTTTTCTAGGACGAGGTAAGTAATAATTAAGGAAATATTATACAGGGTGAGTGCGGAGAATCGCACCAGACTTCAGGAGTGGATTCTACATGTCAAAATAATAAGAAAAAAATTAATGGTGTTATGTAATTTTCATTTATTTTCGCGTAAGTTATAGTGTAATTCCAAATTTAAAAAATTTCATATCATGTTTTAAGTTCAAAAGTAGGATATTTATCCGTGTCATTTTATGGTGCAATAGAAAGTTTTCTAGTTTGCAACGAGCTCAAGTTTATTACGAAATATTAAATAGAACAGCCAGAATACCGTTTTTTTAAGAAAAGGAGTAGCTGTGTGTTTGCTCCCCCCACCACTGATACCTCATTGATTTCACACGGTCTTGAATATCTTTGAGTGACATTTTAAATGGGACGCCCGTGATTGTAAATTTTGAAAATTTATATCTGGAAAGTACTGGGAATGACAAACCTATTAGTTCAAAAAACAGCCCTTATACCTTTATAGTTTTGGTGTAAATAAGGGTTAACTTTAACGGGCTATAACTCCGAAAATAATAGGCGGATCATCAGATATTTTTTTTAAATACTCGTCTTTCCGAGTACTTTCAAACCATATAAAAAAAAATTGGAAAAAACATTAAATTATTGCAATTATTTATAAGTGTGAAAATTGCGAAAATGTTTTAACAATCACCACGGCTCACCTAATCGACCGATTTGAATTTTTCAAAAAGCATTTTAAAGCTTGAGAGCTCTTCTTTTTGTGGTGAAATTTTCAAGTATTCAAAGGCTTTAGATTTTTACAAATTTTATTTTAAAAATTTTTTAATTAAAAAAAAAAATTGTAAACAATTATTATGTAAAAACTATCGAACGGAATTGGATCAACTTTGGTGTGATTATTTTATACACTAAGAAGTTTAATTGGCAAAAGTATGAAGATCCTAGGTATTATTCAAGTGTCTGAAAAAAATTGACAAATAAACTAGCATTTTTTGCAATTTCTTAAATGATTTTTCCGATTTTTGCAACAACAATAATTATTTTTTCGATTTGCAAATAACTCTATCTTGTTCAAAATTTAATTACAAAACTTTTTTTCCTCTTCCATTTTTGTCTAAAACGAATAGTTGCTAAGTTGTCGACGAGAAATCCAAGAAAAAAATGTTATGTTTTTATGCAATAACAATTAAGCCCACTTTTTTTTATTTGCATAGAAAAATTATCATTTCTGATGTTATTTAGAAGCCGTTAAAGCAAAAATCTCCGATTATATGCGTTTTACCCAAGCATACCCTTTTTAAAACAAATCCGCCTGGACTAATAAGCGAAAAACTGAAAAACGAGCAAGTTTTCTTCTTTTGTTATAAACAATATGACGGTCGACCTCTACAAATACACAAATTTAGGTTTTTGTTCTGTGTATTTTTTACTTAATTTTAAGCCCATAACATTCAACTTAGGCCCGATTTCTGAAAAAAAGGAGTATAACACCTGCAACCGGAAGATTATGCTAAGCGTACCTATCGAGATTTGTCAGTAATAATCATTTTGAATCCTGCATACTTTTTACGGTTGAAGCAACATTCTCCCGTGACGGCATAATTAATACTCGGGACTCTCATGTATGGTCAGACGAAAATCCTCACATAACACTCGAAAGTAATTTTCGGCATAGGTTTTCGGTAAATGCGTGGTAAATGTATGGTCAATAGTTATTTAATTGGCCCTTTCATTTTTAGACCAGGCGGTATCTGTTTTGGTTTGGGTGAATCGTATATCCACGGAGATTTTTGGCTTTTTGGCTTTCAAATATCACTAGAAATGAAAATTTTTCTATGCGCATAAAAAAAAACGTGGGCTTAACTTTTGACGGCACAATATGTTAAAAAAATTGGAAAAATGTCATATTTTTCTTCCTATTTAATTATGTATCTTTTTAAGAGTTGATTTTAGGCGAAAATGGAAGAGGAAAAAAATGTTTGTAATTAAATTTTTTACAATACATGACTGGTTACAAATCGAATGAATCATGATTATTATGGTAAAAATCGAAAAAATCACAAAAATGGGGTTAAAAAACAATACTTTTTAGGGAATTTTTTTGGTGTATTTAAATTGGGTGTAGGACCTTTATACTTGGCTCAAGAAAACTTCATGTTATGTAGAATCATCACACCAAATTTCATCAAAATCGGTTCGATAGATTTTGCATAATAATTTTGCAATCCAGATTAAAAAAAAATTGCAAATTTTCAAAATTTTGCACAGCAAAAACCAAGGCCCTTAGATACTTGAAAATTTAATCACATATAGAAGGGCTCTCAGGCTTTCAAACTTTTTTTGAAAAATTCGAATCCGTCAATTAGGAGAGCTCTGGCGCTTGTTTAAACATTGGTCGAATTTTTGTACTTATAAACAATTAGAACTTTGTGAATATTCAATCAAATCAAATTTTTTAAAGCAGGTTTTAAAAGTTCTTGGAAAGACGCTTTTTTAAAAAAAAACAGATCGATTGATCAATTAGTTACGTAGTTATAGCCGTCATTTACACTAAATGTACTGGGACATCCGGGCTAATTTTTCGAAAAATACCTTTGGTATTCCGAGTACTTACCAGGTCTAAGATTACAATACTTTTCTTCATTGGCAACCTACTTTAAAACGTGTTTAAAGTTATTTATGCAAGCGAGAAATTCAATAAAATCGTACGGGTGGTGGTGGTGGGGGAAGCAGAGAGCGCGGCCGCTTCGGCCTGCTCGAAATTGAATCGTCTATAACTACGTAACTAATTGATCAATCGATCTGTTTTTTTTTAAAGAAGCGTCTTTCCAAGAACTTTTAAAACCTGCTTTAAAAAATTTGATTTGATTGAATATTCACAAAGTTCTAATTGTTTATAAGTACAAAAATTCGACCAATGTTTAAACAAGCGCCAGAGCTCTCCTAATTGACGGATTCGAATTTTTCAAAAAAAGTTTGAAAGCTTGAGAGCCCTTCTATATGTGATTAAATTTTCAAGTATCTAAGGGCCTTGGTTTTTGCTGTGCAAAATTTTGAAAATTTGCAATTTTTTTTTTAATCTGGATTGCAAAATTATTATGCAAAATCTATCGAACCGATTTTGATGAAATTTGGTGTGATGATTCTACATAACATGAAGTTTTCTTGAGCCAAGTATAAAGGTCCTACACCCAATTTAAATACACCAAAAAAATTCCCTAAAAAGTATTGTTTTTTAACCCCATTTTTGTGATTTTTTCGATTTTTACCATAATAATCATGATTCATTCGATTTGTAACCAGTCATGTATTGTAAAAAATTTAATTACAAACATTTTTTTCCTCTTCCATTTTCGCCTAAAATCAACTCTTAAAAAGATACATAATTAAATAGGAAGAAAAATATGACATTTTTCCAATTTTTTTAACATATTGTGCCTCCAAAAGTTAAGCCCACGTTTTTTTTATGCGCATAGAAAAATTTTCATTTCTAGTGATATTTGAAAGCCAAAAAGCCAAAAATCTCCGTGGATATACGATTCACCCAAATATGGCTTTTTGAAACAGATACCGTCTGGACTATTTGGGGAATCAACTCACAGAAGACCAGTACAAGTACTCCTAGAGGATGTTCCTATAAACATGAGAATTCAAATCTACTACTACCACGATGGATCTCCTGCACCTTTAGTGAAGTTACATTTAAACAAGAGGTTTCCAGGGGGTTGGATTGGGCACGGTGGTTCTATTAGTTGGCCTCCAAGATCTCCAGACCTCACAGCACTAGATTACTGTTTGTGGGGCTGGTTCAAAAATGAAGTGTACAAAGTTAGAGTGAACACCCGGTAGGCACTAATTCAA